GAGGGAGAGGAAATCAAAATGAGCCAGAAAAGGTACATCCTAAAAATTCTTGAAAGATTTGGAATGTCGGAGTGTAAACCCAGATCCACACCATGTGAACCAAAACTGGAGGGTGTCACAAATGAGGAGAGCAACAAAGATGAAGTTGTTAATCCTAAAGAGTATCGTGAGATTGTAGGGAGCCTGATTTATGCCATGACCTGTACCAGACCAGATATTAGTTGGATTGTTAGTAAATTATCACAAAAGCCAAAGCAGAGAACTTAGTGGTTGCCAAACATGTTTTGAGATATCTAAAAGGTACAAGTGACTACGAGCTGAGTTTCAAGAAAGGTGAGGAGGATCTAAACCTGATTGCTTTCAGTGACTCTGATTGGGCATCTTCTGTAGAAGATAGACGTAGCACTACAGGGTATTGTTTCAGCCTGACCAAACAAGGACCTGCAATTAGTTGGAAGTCAAGGAAACAACCTACCGTGGCTCTTTCAACTTGTGAGGCCGAATACATCGGTCTAGCAACCACTACTCAGGAGTGTGTATCTAACCCAACTGTTAAATGGTATGGATAATAAAGTGTACAGTTGTACAAAGATTTATGGAGACAATCAGGGAGCTATTGCACTGAGTAAGAACCCTGTGAACAGACAGAGGTCCAAACACATTGATGTGAAATATCACTTAATTTGTGAAGCACTCAGTGAGGGGAAAATAGACATTGTCTACTGTCCATCAGAAAACATGATCGCAGACATATTGACAAAACCTGTAGCAAAGACTGGTATTATCAAGTTCAAGAGGTGGTTCTTTGGAAATTGAAAGTGTATGGTCATGTTATTCGGTTTGAGATGATGAGAACAAGAGGGGGTGTTAAGTTATGTATTCTCATCAAGCATATTATTTACATTAGATTTAAGTTATATCATCCCATGTGTTTGAGATGCTCCCATATTGTAAGAATTACGACCAACCTGTTTTGTTTGAACCTGTATTATAAGACGTACGCCCTGCTGTGTTTTTGTTTGGGCACTTTACGCCACTTCGGGACACTTTACGTTGTGTGGCAATGAGAATGAAGAAAAATGTGTGGGAGCGGTGCATTGTGTGACTTTTTACATGAAGCCATGGCTACTGATGTTCTTTCCCGGTGCTGTGTAGTAGAGAGTACAATAAAAGCAACATGTGAGACCGTTTCCTCCGTGTAATCCTTCCTCACCATGGCTGACGAAGCTGAAAGCTCAACAACATTTATGAAAAAAGTTTAAGAACCACTGCACTTAACATAGTTAGGAATATTATATTCCATTTCTGCCAATAGATCCTCCTAAATGTTACACACTGGACCTTTTTAGTTGACTCATTTATAGAGCATTACCGCCCTCTTCTGGATGAGGTTTATCTCAAGCCAACATTTTGCTGATTTTCTGTTTTTTAAACAGAAAAAGGGGAAACACGTATGCTAAATAAACTGTTTTAATGTAAAAGCTAAGCACTGAAAATTAAAGTACAGACATGGCATCAAAACAAAATGTATTTGGAACCCTCGGAGTTTTGTTTTGAGCAGTGCTATACATTTGTAGAGTCACTCTTATTTTGAAGAACTGCGACCGGAAACCCAGTTCGCGGTACTGTCGGCGGGTCGCATGCAGTTTGACAGTGGTACTCGAAGCGGCTGTCAGGCTCCATTCTCGCTGACAGCCTCAGTAAGCAGCGTCGCATCCTCGGCATGGCATCCGACGACCTAGCTAGGAAGCTGCAGTCGCGGCTGGCCGCCACGCAGGAGGCTGAGCCGAGGCCGGAGCCTGGACGGAGCCCGGTCCAACCCAAACCGCCACCACAGGAGCCTGAGGCAGCCTGCGGCGACTCGTCCTCTGAGCTGTCCGCCAAACTCACCCGCAGGCTGGACATCAATGAGGGCAACGCTGCCCCGCGACCGACCCGCGTCTTCAACCCCTACACTGAGTTCAAGGAGTTCTCCCGCAAGCAGATTAAGGAAATGGAAACGATGTTCAAACGGTAAGGCTGCTGCTTTCTTTTGTGTCCATGTACACATGTAGCACAGGTCCGACATGTTTACTTGTAGGCTAGTGGCGGGGATTGGCCGTGAATGAACACGCAGCAGTGGAAGCTCATGATGAGATTAAACTGCTGCTGACGTGAGGCTCCAGGTGGAAGCGCTGGCTGTCAGTGAGTGACTGATTAAAACTGACTCATCACTGCTCACTGCAGGCCCTCCGCACTATTAGCTGGCATTCTGTTCTCCTTGCAGTACATTCTGTCCATATAGTGTTGTGTCGTGATCAGAGGAGGGACCTGTGAGTGAGCTGTCCTGGTACAGCTGAAGCAGCCAGGGTCGACCCATTACACTCTGACATGTCACACAAGTGTAGGGCTATTTGTTTGTGTTTTTCCAATCAATTGACAGAAATTGAGTATAATATTAATAAGTATGTTTTTAATTATTAATAATTTATATTTATAATTACCTGAATATAAGAATTGTGTTTTTGTTACCTTAGAATTAGCTGTTTTTATCTACAGAAGGAGAGGGTCCCCTTCTGTCCAGTCCATGTTTCTACTAGGGGTGTAGGAAAATATAAAAAAATATTTTAATGCGATAATATTTTTTGTGATATTTTATTGAATACCAAAAACACTATTGTTTTTTCTGATTCAACTAGATAACAGTGTTGTGAATATAAACTGAGAGCGTAATGTTGGATGTTACAGGGATGGATGTTTGCTCAGGCTGTATGCATACTGTGGACAGTTTTCCTAAATTTAGATTAAAATAAATCTTAATATATCATCTTAATGAAATGATAATGGATTGAACTTGTATAGTGCCTTTCTAGTCTTCAGACCACTCAAAATGTTTTTACACTACATTCCACATTCATACAGTGATGGCAAACATTTATAACAAACAGAAACTCACTTACAGTCACACACTGATGCACAGTGGGAACAATTTGTCGTTCAAATGTTGATGTAACTTGCTGAAGGACACTTCGACATGCAGCAGCAGGAGCTGGGCATTGAACCGCCAACCTTCTGATTAGTGGACAATCCGGGGGGTGCGCACAACCTTGTCTGCTGCGGTTGTGAGGTTACCAAAATTATTATTTACAAAAATTACATTTATAAAATCCCAAT